ATGAAGGTGACTTCGATCTGCTTGCCTGAGACTATAAGGTTTCGAATAGTTAAATAAATAATGAATATTTTGTCAAGGACATTAACTTACTTAATGACTTGATGAATTTCTTTCGCTCTATAATGAATATATTTTATTTAATTTCAAATTCCAGTCCGTAATTTCAAATTATTATTAATTCTGAAAACCTTACTGAAATCTCTGAATATTTTGCATGCATATAATTACCTCTTTTAAGACTGAAACACTTAAAATTATTAAATCTTATTGTAATCAAAACCTTAAAATGGCGTTAGTTCTGTCGTTTTACAAACTTGAGGATTTTTTATAGAATAAGAGCGACAAATGAGCACACAGTCCACCTGATGGTGAGTGGATGCTGTGGCCCATAGACATCTTTATTTATTCTCGCAGGGATGATTTCTGGATCTCGACAATAGCGCCACCTATCGGATCCATCTAGGGACCCATTCAATACATTAAAAAGTCATCAAAATCGGTCAAGCCATTTTTTGAGTTTAAGTGATACTAACGTACAGCAATTTATTTTTATATAATAATGTGTAAATGGTTAATGCAAACTTACAATTGACAACATATTGCAATGCGCATATAAATTATTAGGAAAAAATATAAAGGTCATCGTCTTCTTCGTTCGATTACATTTTCATGTTCGTTCGTCAACGATCTTCATTTTCTTCATAAAACATAAAGCCAAATCCCATAAAAGACCTCTTCTGAATTTATCCCGTTGCAGGAAAGATCTGTTTAAAATTTCACGCTAAAGATCCCAGTACCATACACCTTTGATACTGCTAAATAATAATAATAATAAGTTTATTCTTTCCTCTCACAAATTTAGTAATAAATATAAACATACAACTTAATATTAATATGTTACGATTAATTTATGAGAGACTGGTGTCCGTACTAGGATTCAATGTATGACAGATCACTAGCTAATATTATTATTTATTTATATTACTAGGTAATATTAGGTGTATGATAAACAAGAGAAGAAAAAAATATAAAAATAACGAAAAATGTTTTGTGTGTGTGTGTGTGTGTGTGTGTGTGTGTGTGTGTGTGTGTGTGTGTGTGTATGTATGTGCTTGTATTTATAGCGTTTAGGTTTTATTTCATGATTTTAAGTAGTTCCTCAGTCGTTTCATAATCTTGCCTTAGTAACCATAGGGTTACCGTCTTTTTGCATTTAAATTTGGGAAATTTGTATATAAGGCGTAGGGAAGTGACGACCCCATCGCCCGCTGACGTAACGGTTATGTGACAAAACCGCTACGTCAGCGCAGTCAGTCAGCACCTTGCCAAGAGGTGTTACTGCCGTGCCTCGGCAAAAATTGAAGGTGAAAGGCCCGCTTGTGCACATGACCTCACCATGAAACGGCGCCGGGTCTGGGCGTCTCCCGCTAAATGACGCCCTAAAAATGGATGATGGAATTAAATAGAACGCGCAAAGGGCCGCTGCCTGTAGGTCGCCAGGGCGCGTCTGGAGCTGGCCCTGGACGCGACAGCATGCGAACCGCCAGCCGAGCGCGAGGTGCTGCACGACCACCCAGCAGCCCCTCGCATCCATCATCCCCACCAGCTGGCTTTGTGTCGGCAGGGTCTTCGCGGGCCCAGTAATCGTAACCCGCCTCTGGTAGAGTAGGCCGCATGCGTTGGACAACCCAGATGTACATCAACGCATTGCGGGCATATTTTAGGGCGAAAGGGGGAGAAACTGGAGGTTTTGCGTATCGGGCAAGTATGCATCGACTTTTTTGCTGAGCTGGAGCCATCTGTAACCGTCACCGAGCAAAATCTGGCAGACCGAGTTCGGTATATCTTGCGCTCAAATACATTTGATGTTACCGAACTCTAACAGCTACGACGTGAGGCTGTTCCTTCATCGGGTGAAAATGCTGCGGCTGAGGATGCGGCGCCACAACTTGCTGAGCAAACGGCAAATGTGGATGCCGCCGTGAACACGCCAGTTGTGGTTGATTCAGACGATGATGGAACAGTCACCCAGGAACTGGAACTAGAGCAAATGAGGTATAGATTGGAAGAGGCGATTGTGGAAACGCGCAGTACGCCTCTCGAAAATCGACCGCGACTTCCCCGCTTAGCCCTAAGCAAGCTGAATCGGGCTGTCGTGAGGGCTCTGAACCCAATGCTGGTTACCTATTTGGAAGCCAGCCGGGACCTTTGCAAGACGGACTCAATTCTTTTTGGCGCCGCACTGGTAGTGCACCGTATTATAGGCGCCAAACTTTCTACGGCTGGACGCGCTACTGGACAAAGTAGTGCTATCCCAGCCTAGAGAATAAGAATTGAAGAGCGTATCGCAAAGGCTAGGGCCCTCATCGGCAGACTGATATGCTTCAGGTCAGGCAATACCAGGCCAAGGATTGTGCGCACCGTCAGGATGGCGTTTGCTGGCATAAATGTTAGTTTGTCCCAGCCGGATATAATGCAAAAACTGACGGAGCGCATAGACGATCTGAAGCAAAGAATCGCTGCTTGGGGAAAGCGGATTCGGCGTTATACCGAGAGGTCGACACGGTTCAACCAGAATCGTCTCTTCCAGAGTGATCAGAAGAGGCTCTATAAATCATTGGAGCGTCCAATAGTAAGTGGAACGGGCCCAGCACCAAATCAGGCCGACACGGTCGCATTCTGGCGCAGCCTGTGGTCAGAGCTCATAAACCACAACGAGGGCCCTTGGACGGAAGTTGTGGCGAATCAGTGTGCGGGTATTACGTCTATGGACCCCGTCATCATAACGCTGGATGACGTAGCTGAGGCGGTCCGTAGGGCCCAGAACTGGAAAAGTCCGGGGCTTGACGAGCTGCATCACTACTGGCTGAAGGGGTTCAAGGTGTGTCACGCTGTGCTCGCCCGACAGTTTCAAGAGGCTCTGAACCAGAAGTCACTCCCAAGCATCTTCACTACTGGGATCACTCATTTGGTTCCTAAAGATCAGGGTGCCACAGACCCGAGCAAATACCGCCCCATTACGTGTCTATTGACCATATACAAGACACTGACATCCATTTTGAGCGCGAGAATCGCTCGTCACCTGGACTCAAATCAGGTGATGTCGCGCGCTCAAAATGGATGTCGGGGCGGTGGTCGTGAAACCAAGGAACCACTCCTCATTGATGCGGTCATTGGCAAAGTGGTGAAACGCAACCGTCGGAACTTCTCCGCCGCCTGGATAGATTACAGAAAGGCATTTTACTCGGTGCCCCATACATGGCTAAAGAGGGTCCTCGAGCTGTACAAGATTGACTGTACAGTTCGAGACTTACTCGAGCAGTGTATGGGGCAGTGGAGTACGATCCTCTGTCATCTAGGCGAGCGGATGACGGCTGCGGAAAGCCGCATAAGGATAAGAAGGGGTATATTTCAGGGCGACCGTCTGAGTCCAATCTGGTTCTGCCTCTCTTTGAACCCTCTCAATACTTTTCTGGAGGGCTCTGGGAGAGGATTTCAGCTTCGGAAAGGAGGTACAAAAGTGACCCACCTCTTCTATATGGATGACCTCAAATTATTCGCCTCCAGTCGCTCCCATCTTATGGAATTGCTAAACATCACTTGTGAATTTAGCAATTCTATTAGAATGGAGCTGGGGACGGATAAGTGTGCGGTCCTCCATGTTGAAAGGGGAAGGGTTGCTAACTCTGAGGGCATAGATTTATCTATGCCCGTCAACTTAAGGGCCCTTTCCGAGGCTGAAACATACCGATACCTGGGTATGTCACAGAACATCTGTATCGATGAGGCTGGTATGAAATAGTCAGTTTGCGACGTGTTTTATGCACACTTGACCAAAGTGCTTAACAGCCTTTTGTCTGGTTCACATGAGAAACATGCATATAACGGTTGGGTCATGCCTGTGCTCATGTATACCTTTGACATACTCAGGTGGAGTCAGACTGAACTTAACGCCCTGGATAGAAAAGTCCGCACTACAATGACGTCCCATAGGATGCATCATCCGAGAACGTCGGTAATGAGGCTGTACTTACCGCGAAAGCATGGTGGGCGTGGCTTCCTGAGCGTGCTCACCATGCATAATCGCGAAGTGTGCAGCCTCCGTCGTTACTTCCTGGCGAGATGGGGTGATCCATTCTATAATGACGTCATTTCTAGTGATAAAGGACTTACCCCTCTATCCTTAGCCAACGAGCAATGGCAAGACCCGACAGTATAGAGCATTTCCGACCGGGAGACAGTATGGAAGGAGAAGGAGATCCATGGGAGGTACTACAGGGCTCTACATGAGCCTCATGTAGATACAGCCGCCTCCCTCAACTGGCTACGTTTCGGTGACCTCTTCGGGGAAACCGAGGATTTTGTCTGTGCAATACAGGATCAGGTTATTAAGACCAACAACTATCGGAGATACATCCTAAAGGATGGCACTGTCGACGCCTGTCGAGCTTGTCGCCATCCCGGGGAGTCACTTAGGCATGTCATCTCCGGTTGTTCGACGCTTTCTAACTCTGAGTACTTGCACAGGCATAACCTAGTAGCCAGAATTCTACACCAGGAGCTCGCTCTTAAATACGGTTTCGTGGACCGAAAATTGCCGTATTACAAGTACTTGCCGGAAGCCATGCTCGAAAATGACCGCACCAGGCTCTACTGGGACTGGGCCATCATCACAGACAGGACTATTCTTGCGAATAAGCCTGATATTGTGCTGATGGACCGGGCACAGTCAAGGATATTTTTGATCGACATTACCATTCCGTATGACGAGAACCTCGTAAAAGCCGAAACAGAGAGACGAACAAAATATCTGGACCTGGCTCAGGAGGTGACCGACATGTGGGGTGGTATGCCGACCGAAATTATTCCTGTAGTCGTCTCTGCGAATGGGCTAATCCCAGTCAGCCTCTCGGGTCATCTGAGGCGACTGGGACTCCGTGACGGACCGCTCCGGGCTCAAATGTAGAAGGCGGTGCTCCTCGACACCGCCCGCATCGTCCGCCGGTTTCTTTCCCTTTCCCCCGAACCCTCGGCCGTTTGGTCTCCCCTGCCGAGGGCTCCCATCTGGTTGGATCTTATTTATTTATGTAGTTTTTGTATTTATTTTATTTTATTGATATTTATGTATATTTATCTTTTCATTTTAATTTATAATTATATATTTATAGAACCCAACCAGGTGAGAAAATTATATAGATAAGTTTATTCTTTCCTCTCACAAATTTAGTAATAAATATAAACATACAACTTAATATTAATATGTTACGATTAATTTGTGAGAGACTGGTGTCCGTACTAGGATTTCCTGTATGACAGATCACTATCCCCCACCTTCAGACCTTATAATCTAGGTAATATTAGGTGTATGATAAACAAGAGAATAAAAAAAATATAAAAAAATACGAAAAATGTTTTGTGTGTGTGTGTGTGGGTTACCGTCTTTTTGCATTTAAATTTGGGAAATTTGTATATAGATAGAATGGAATTAATTTTATTATATAGATGAGAACCCAAGAAGCAGAAGAAATTATGTGTAAAGCTTCTTTTGTATGGTAAAATGGGACAAATTTTACTTTTATTTCTTTTATTTATAAGAAGAGAAGGATTGTAATATAACAGAGAATGTTGTTTTAAAATAGTGTGGAGAATAAATAATTGGCGAACTGTGAGAACTTTACAGCTTTGGTATAGGTCTTTAGTGGGATAGAGAAATGGAAAGAAATGACTCACCTTAAGTAGTGCTCTTTGGGCACGTTCTAATTTAAGTAGATTTGATTTAGAGGTACCACCCCAAGCTGTTATGCAATAGGTAATCAATGATTAGCAAAGTGACAAGTAAGTTGATTTTATTATTGTTTCGTCTGCCACATGTCGAAGATTTTTAAAAATATAGATCAACTTGCGCAACCTATTAGTTAGAAGATTAATGTGTGCTTGAAAATTCAGATTACTGTTAATTATTATACCTAAATACTTTATTTCATTTACTTTTTATAATATGATTTAACCGTCCTCTACCCCAAAGTCAAAGATCTTTTTGGTATTTCCCAAAGACACCTCTTGTGGCATGTATGCGGCTAAATGAGGTGATGAATTCTTCCATCGAAATAATTATTGGCCGCGATATCGATACAATTCCTAGTGTTTCCTCTCTAGCACGTATAGGATTTCAGATATGAATCTGAGCCGTGGCAGCCTTCGTCCCTGTAATAGGGAAAAGCGTTAGTTTAAATAATTTACTGTTGTAGTTGATGTTATCATACTTTATTTTATTTTTATGCAAATCCGGTACTAAGAAGACAGCAATAGATGAATACCTGTCATCTTCTTGTTTAAATTGTCTGCTGGTACATAAGCAAACTAAACATCACTCCTGTACGTAATATGAAATGATCGCTTTACATGAGTACGATTATAGTTTTTTTTAAATGACGCATAAAATAATGTCACAGTCTAAATTAATCTTACTTATGTACCCACTAGACCACTACACTACTACACTACTAGATTACCCTATACTGGAGTATTTTCCATAGTTACTACACTTGTTAGACGAGTTGGCAACTGCAGTTTTTATTATTTTGCAATCTTATCAGAAATATGCCGCTGTCTGTTACCTCGTTCCCTTTTATAACACTTTTGTGGTGATACGGAGCATTGGATTGTCTATTCCCGCCACTGCATAGAAGAGCTTAAAAATTACATTGGATTTGAAAAAGTTATAAAAAAAATGTTTAAGGATCTTTGAGTTTACGGTTTTGCCTGATTAAAAATGTTTGCCTAGTCTATGAAAATGGTCGGAAATTATCACCTAGCTAGCTCCTATTATGGTTTACATACTAATCTATCAGTTTCCGGTGAAACCGCCCAAATAGGAAAGTTGGTTAGAGATTATGATGTAGAAAAAGAAAGATATTAGTGCAATCATAACTCAACCATATTATAATTAAGAGAGGCATTATTTTTATATAATAAATAATTGACAATTAGTACTGTTGTCAAATAAAAAGGTATAACTATAACTATTTTTACTGGCAAGTAGCAGTTCAGCATATTCTCTTTGTGTTTAATAGTCTAATATGTTATCTAAATTAACACCACTCTAGAGAGTGAATTTAATGTTTTAATGTTAGGTAAATTTGACTAAAGTCATATTTACCTAACATTAAAACATTAAATTACCTAAAGAGTGGAAGGCTATCACTATAATTGGTATGTTTATGTCGTCGTTACAATATACTCTTACATAGAGCTTAACGTATGTGTCGTGAGAAAAACGAAGGAAAACTTTATTTTAGTGACTTTTAATATATCTAATGGTCTTTTTTAGTAAATAAGTAAATTTCGGTATTTACGGTGGAAATAGAAAAGGTTATGTTTTTAAGATAGTCATTATCCGGTATATTTTGTATGAATAAATTAATGTCTGATATGAAAAATGTATTACAAAAATTATAATAATGAACTTAACTAAAATAATAATTAAAATTATAATATTTACGATTAAAGCTAATTATACACAATATAAAAGAAGAAACTATAATATAGAAAATCTAAAACTAAAAATTTTAATAATCTAAAAGACCTGCTCCCCGTGGTATAGTGCCAAGAACGCTGGCTACATTTCCTCGCTGAATAGCTATAGGGTCGATGCGCTGGTTTTCGGCCTTTTAGTGGAGTTGTCAACTTTAAGGTACAATAAAAAATAATAACCATTATGTTGACCTAGTGCTCTTAAGAGGGCCCTTCCCGACCCGTGTATCGTCAACGCGAGTATGGTTAAAATTAAAAAGCATGTTGTTTCATCCAGCGCAATGTTAGAAAAAGAAGGAAAGCGAAAAGAGAGAGATAGCGCCTGAGCGCTCGGTTGGCGTTCGGTAACATTCGCCGCTGACTCATGGGCGGTCGACTGCTAGTCTGTAAGCCATTCATGATCATGACATTAATATTGAATTGTTCGCACGCGTCTCGCTACTATGCATTGATTTATATAACCCTAATGAGTGTTGTATAACTCAATGCTACTATGGCCCCACGTGCGCATAGCCATAGTTTTGTAAATTTCTCTGCATACAGGACAGGTGTATACCTACATTTAGTACCGTTTTATTTTATTATATTACATACTTTGTGCAGTACGGACGACGGAAATTAGGTAATTAATTATTAATTAAACTACAAATGTATGTTTGGTTGATCAAATAAAGTAGTCTAAATAAAGTTGGGTAAATATCAATTTTAATCTAAAAAACTTTGTTACACTTTACAAACAATACATAAAACATCAGAAGTGATGGAAAATTTAGAAAAAATAATATTATTATCTAATACAGTCAATCATCGAATCTATCTCTCATTGGCAGTTTGGGTGGGAAACGTGGGTCAATAATTTCTGGCAGAACACATTTAAAGTAGAACTGCGTCAGTTTCAATATTTTATCATCTGACCAAAAAGTTGGATCTTTGTATATCTTTTCATACAAGAATCCCCGGTATAAAAAACAAGATCGTTTTGGTAGGTAAAATAGAATTAACTTAAAATAAAATGCAACAGCACATTCGCTTACGCGCAGTCAACAAATTCTATACCTGCTGCTAACAATTCGCGGGAGGCCCGAGAGCAGAGCGCGGGTGCACCAGCGTCTCACCCCGCCACAACCCCGCACGACTCGTCCCCCGCATACCTCACCACCACTTGACTAACAAGCGAGTGAGAACGCGATAACAGTCAACGAAAAATTGTGTGCGGAAATTTCATAAAACTTGATCCAGGAAATACGTGTTTTTCAGTAAGTCTTACTGAAAAACACGTATACGTATACATACACTTAGCAACTTCATTATATTTTCGAGTTTTCTATCAAAATATTTTCATTGGTTTTATTATTTATGAGTACATTATGAACGGCCAAAGTTCAGGTAATATTGTGCAAAAAAGCAGATTTTTGGAGGCTTATACTGAATTTGTTTCTCTAAATTTTGATTTTTTGTTTTGAGACAAACTTAGATATAGTGCACAAAAATACCTATTAGTACAAAAATTTCAAAGAAATATCTATTACAATGCCTTAATCATGTACGAGCGTTTGTATGAAAAGTAAGACGGGTTGGCCGCTCTTAATGTTAATTTGTAGCTTATATAATGTAGTTTTCATTTTTATAACTCATTGATGCTACAAAAGAAATCTATTTTTTATAATAATTTTTTGTGCAAAAGTCACATCCAATATAATGATTTCTTATATTTACGCGAACACTACACATTGATTAAAACTACTTTTACGGATTTTATCGCGTTTAATTTTAATTGATTTTTTCACATCACATCCAATATTTTTTCCAGATCTTCTTCTGTATCGTTTATTAAAATATTATGACACAAAGCACAATTTACTCTTACAGTTTTTCTCCTTCATAGGTTTCTTGGATTTAGCTATTTTTCGTATTTGAACTTTAGCACTTTTTAATATTTCTTTTTAATTTTTTTTCTTTTCAAAATATTTTAGTTCTTACTTCTCTATTTTAACTTTTACTAACCTTCATAAAATTTTCACCACACCGCAGATGAAATTGCTGCAGAAGAAGGTGCACGTGTACTGTAAGCAGTTAATTTTTTTACGGGTTACGGTTTAAATAAATGTTTTTTCTATTGCGTCTCTATACTCTGTCTAGTCTGTTTAGTTGGAATATCAACCCACACATTTTCTAAAGTTTCAGACATCTTGTTTGTTATCGTCGGTGTTTGTAGTGGTATCATCGTAGTCATTTGAGTCGTTATTGTTTCATTACTGAAATATATTATCATTTCAAGCATTGTCAGTACTGTTGTCGTTGGTAGGCTTATTTGAGTTTGGATTACAAGAACAAATATCCAAATAAGTTCCTGACAAATGCAATGTTGAAATTTTGTTATCGATTAACGATTCTGATGCATCGGTAGTTGAATAAATAGTTACCACAACATCGTGAGTTAGAATATTTTTATCTTGATCTTTGTTGCACAGACTTTCTGGAGACTTAAATGGACTTAGCGGTCTTATATTGCTTAATTGGAGAATTTTCAAGTCTTCGTTGACCTGTCTGTGTGTAACAATATTGATCTGAGAAGACTTTCGTTTCAATTTTTATGTTTTTTTTCCGCCTAAGTTGATTTAAAATGTTTCTAAACTTTTCTAGTTAGAAACAGAATACGGCGGCGGTAATGTCTATAGACAGCATTCTATTTTCCGCCGCCGTTTCTTTCATACAATTTTTCAAGTTTGCCGAAAACTAAATAAATATTTCAGGGTCAATCCAATTTTCGCCCGCACCTGGAAAAAATGGTTATTTTTGAATTTCGTCACTAACTGTTCAAATTGCAGTAATTAAGTGGCCGTAAACTGAACAAGTCAGATGTCTACTCACGCTACGATTCAATATAAGTAAGAAAGATGAATTATAGTACGTAACCAAATAAACGAAAGAGAAAAAGTATTTAGGCTAAACTCAGGCTACTTTTCGGCCGCATGGCCGACAACCAACTAATGGGAAAATTTTATGTGTCACTTTTCGGCCACTTAATTTATTAATTTTATCAATAAAGTATTATAATAATCAGTGTCAATTAACTGTATTAGGTTATTTATACAGTGAAATATAAGCAAAATATTAAGTAATTGTATTAAATACAGCACGAAACTTACTTTTGAATGGAACGCGCGCCACTATTTTTTTTGCTCGATCTTACCCGTTTTGACAGTTTCTGTGCCGGTGTCGAACTAAACTATTTATTATAAATCGCATGTTGTGTTTACCTGATTAATTAATGCTACCAGATATAGTGCAACTATTTACAAATGAATTAAACTTTATCTCGTACGATAATATTTATTAAAATTGATATTAAATCAAATTTACTGCATCACCTCGTGCTAAAGGCCGAAATCTAGACCCGGCCGGCTTACCGGCGCATCGACCCTACTTAGCCTTTGAGCGAGGAAAGAACCAGCCCTCTTATCACCAGCAGCGACGACCAGTCGTGAATAAAGTTCCTTTAGAAACTTCACTGCACGTGGACCCCACGGACCGATAGTCTCTACAGCAAATGGTACAAATATGTAGCCATTTCTCAAAGACTCATATTTGCGCCATTTACTAAATTCGGCTGCCTCTGATGCCATGATAAAAGAGTTACCCCTGAGATGAGAGGCCGCCAAAGTGTCAACGCAAGTAGCATCCCACACTAGGGCTTTACCTCTCTCCCAAGAGACCAAAGTCACACCATCGGGTCTCCTGCCATCGTCTCTAAATATCCCGCAAGACTCTAAAACCGAGGGGATATTTATGGAGAAAAGAGCCCTTCGGATGATTTCGTTCAAAGAACCGTGACGGGAAAACCTACCTGCACTTTTCTTGCATGAAATAACATGCTTCCGTGGAGCCCAAACTCATCGACGCTGCTACCACAGGGGCACTGGTGAGGTTGACAAATTGCCACTCCTAGCCAGATTCCTACGGCAATGCGCAAGCTTTCCCCATCAAGCAATGTGCCGAGATTGATGATGAATTGATGGTAGAGCATGTAACCAGTGGCTAGATTCCTTAGTCGAAACAGCTAGACGGCGAGCCTGATCTTGTTGACTATAGAAATTTTGAAATAAATTTTTCTGGACACTCCGTACCACATCCTGTTTTTGTTGGTTAACTCCCAGTGGGACATTTTCGCCGGGACAGAGCGTTAGCCATGTTTGCCTTGCCTCCGCAGAAAAGCACAGGCTACTTTATTATTTAAAATTGTGTTACATAGATCGTTGACACTATGCACGGCAATGCGATGAAAACAAGGAAAGCAGGCGTTTTAATATAGAATTTGCAGACGACTAAATGACTTGAGCATACAAGGTAAATTAGTACAAAAAATAAAATTAAAGAAAGTTTAAA